CCTGCGCTTCATACAGTAGCTGATAATGTACTGCTCCATTCAGTGATGCTGCAGGAGGCTGACCATGCTCTACAAGGTGTTCACGTGGGCTGACAGCCCTTGGTGGAGTTGTGTCTATATGTGCAGGGCTGAGCAAGATGTCTGGCCAACCATGAAGATTCTCTGAGGGCTTAGAGGTGCCTGACTTTCTTCTTTATTTTCCCCAGCCAGTGCTTTTGGACAGCAGCAGTATTCTTCCTGACAGAATCCTACTGATGGATACTTTCTTCCAGATAGTTATCTACCTTGGTGAGGTACAGTGAAACACATTCTCTTTCTCTGTGTGCACTCCCTTCCCCCTGCCATGCATGCAGACAGCGTCACTGTTAGTATAAAATAAGCCGCTTGCAAACTCCACACTAGCATAATGACATCATATACATGCTGACAGTTTAATAGGATTTCACCACTGTCTGAGTTAACAAACAGATCCTACTGGAGTTGCTAAGGATGTGTTGTGTGCTGAGCAACAGCTGTCATGTTAGCTTGATAACAAAGGTGGTTCCTTACCATGCCTGGAAAAGGCCAGAGAAACTTGAAACTAAGCAGGGCAGAGAGCTGTAGTTTGATTTTTCAGACACATGACATATTTGGTTGCTGGCTATTGACACTTAAATACTGCTGCTCTTAAGAAATCAGTTATGAATTTTTCCAGTTTTTGCTTTTAAATACTGGATGTTTTTGATAGCTCTCCTGTATTCCTTTCATCATGACTGAGGTAAATGCTTAGGTACTGGCCTTTTCTAAATGTGCAGATTTATACCAGTATCCAAAGCCTTGGCTCTCCAGTGCCTCTTCAGTATGCAGTCCTGTAGATCTGTATTTCAGACCTGTCAGGTTCTGTAAGGCAGCGGTATGCTACCATAGCTGACTAATAGAAATGCCTCACATCCTAAAGGAGTTATGGGGTAAGGGGTGAAGAGGAAACTGGCTTTTCACTTCTTTCTCTGGAAATTCCCTGTTCTCTGATGCCTTTTTTTTTTTTTCCCCCCCTCATGTCCTGTGTAGTCCTGCTTGGGGAGTGGCCCTCATCCAGTTTCTTCTACCTAAACATGGCATCAGATTGCAGTAGTTTAAATACACCCATTTTTGTTTATGGTCAAACTTTTCTATTAGTGAGAACTTTTTGGGAGGCATTTTAAATCTTCTCTTTGTTTTTGAACTAAGTTACTTCACTGATATTTAATGACTTAGAATGCTTGAAGTTTGGCATGATGGTTTGCAGCAGCTCCATTATTAGCTCCTGACTTCACTCCATGTAGGGTTTGTTCCCTTTGAGAAGTGAGTAGATACCCAATTGACATGAACAGGAGTTGAATGCTTGAGTCAATGATAATAAATCTTCCAGAGTTGCCCTAATTCTGTGATTCTGTGAAATAGTTTCTACCTACTGTTGCAGAGCAAGACACTCAGCCACTGGGTAAAATTTAGACATAGGAAGAGCTAAGTGTGTGACCTGCGTATGTGTAAAACAATTGCTAGGTACATATGGTTACATATTGAAAATACTGTAAAGCAATAGCTGCTTAATTTAAGACAAAGTCAGATTCAAAATGTCAGATTTATAAATGGTTTGTGTTTCTGTGTTGGTGCAGGCTGAAACATAGAGGCCTGAAGATCACTTTTAACAAATTGCTCCTGCACTGCACAAACTCCTACAAGCATTTGTGTGGAGTGCCTGTACTTAAATTCAGGGACAGAAACTAAATAATGTTATTGCCAGAGTAGTGAAAACATGCGTTTACCTTGTGCTCTGTAAGCAGAAGTACATGTAACATTCTGCTGCCTTAAGACATGAAGGTTAAAAAGGGGAGGTTTGCAGACATCTCTGCTATTTATTCATTTCCTCCCTGTCCTGTCAACAGACTATCGCACAGTGGCAGAAAGCTGGTTACCAAGACATGCCTGAATATGAAAACTTCAAGCACCTACTGCAAGCCCCACTGGATGATGCTCAGGAAATCTTGCAGACTAGATTCCCAATGCCACGTTACATCCACACTGAACATGGGGGCAGTCAGGTAAGGAGGTTTACTGAGGAACTCTTTCTGTTTTTCAGTAGTTCAAAACCACCTGTCTTTCTGCTTGACTAAAAGGATAGTTCTGCAAGTTAAATACAGTGGTAGTAATTTATCTCTACAAAGCCTAGTTTGCATATTTTCTCATGAAAATATGAAAAAAACTTTGTCTTTTAATAAGCCAATCACTTGCTGGATATGCTTTTGAAATAGGATGGAAGAAACAAAAAAAAGTCAGCCTAAATATCTTTCTATTCTTCAAAGAAGTGGGAAAGAAATGATTTGGCTGTGTATCTAAACTTATCCAAGACAGGGAGTGCAGTTAGCTTGCTAGGACGTTACGAATGATTGAGCATCTGTTCCTTTGTTCTCTAATGCTGAATGAGGATATAAAATAGTTCTTATTTTTGCTCTTTCTGGAACTGCAGTTATGCTGTGCTTGTCTGTGCCTAGCTTGTTTGTAGCAGTGGAGAGGCAGGAATCAATGGTCCAAACCAAAGATTTGGTATTAATTTTTGATGTGACCATGTTACGCTGGTCCTCCACTGACCTTTTTTCTGAAGAGCGGATGGGGGCATGCAAGGGACAGCGCTGGTGACATGCCTGTGTCGTGTGGAACCAGAGCTGCCCTGCCAGGCGAGTGCCACTTGGTATAGCAGAGCACTCTGTGCCCCTTGGAGACAAGCTGTCTTGAAGCAGAGCTGCTTCTGGCCTTTACCTGTTTAAGTTAAATTAGTACCTTGCTTGCAAAAGCAGAGGAACATTACCAGTCATGTATCTAAGGTGGTAAGAAATCTTGAGGGAGCTGACAGGTCTGTCATTTCACAAAACTATTTCTGTAATGTTTTGTCTTAATAGGCCCGGTTCCTCTTGTCTAAAGTGAACCCTTCTCAGACCCACAATAACCTCTATGCATGGGGACAGGTAAGCAATGGAAGAGGTGCTCATGGTTGGGAATGCTGTAAAATGTACATTTACATATTTGCCTGTGCAGTAGCTCTCCTGTTTCAACACATGGCTACAAGTCGTGAGCAGATTACATTTGTCCTGTCTCTTATCTAAGAGCTTTTTGCAGATGTATGTGACTGGAGTGGAGAATCTTACAGTGCTTTCCAGTGCAAGGAGACAACATTATTTCTGTGTACCAAAGGATCTGATAATGGCATTACTAGCTGAGACTGCAATAATTAGAGTGTTTTAAAGCACACAACTGATTTATCTTTAGATTTGTCTCTAAAGCTTAGGCAGGTTAGATTTTTAATCAATCTCCTTATTCAAGTCCATGGTTGTTGATGAAATACAGTACTAGTGGGGAGCACTAGATAAGATGATCAGAATACTGTTTTCAGGCCCAGGTGACTAAACTAATTTTCAAAATCCAGTTGATTTTGGGGATTTTTCTCAATGGATCTGAGGAATGGCTGTCCAAATGGAGGTGCTGCTACAGCAGCTCAGTACCTCAGCAGCTTGCTGACAGACGAGCAGTCTTCACAAGCAGTGTTTTGCCCCTTTGGTCTCCCTTCCTAATCCCAGATACATGTGGGGCACAGGCAGACCAGGAGAATTTTCTGTGGTGGCTGCTGTTGAAGGAAGCAGCTAATTTGATGTGGAAATTATCTTCACCCTTCCCTACAAATGTGATTTAAAACTCTTAGGTCACAGTGTATTTAGTACTCTGGAAAAAGTAACTAGCATGTGGATACATACAGATCTAATTAATCTGAGAATATAGACTTGTATATCCTCTTCCTTTACAGTGTTTGTGTAGAGGTTTGGGCAGCAAAAAGACTCTTTTTTCCAGTAGTTCAGATAGCACTAAAGGATAGTGTGAGTGCTGCTTGCCAGAGTAGTATCTTTCTACTAGATATCTGTCCTTTGCAGGAAAACAGGTGGTTGATTTAGCAGGCAGTTAAGTTTAGAGTGCTGACATCTGACTTGCTTTCCATTAGTACCCAGTGTTAACACCATGATTTTAGGCTCATTATTTCTTTATTTGTCTGCAGGAATCGGGAGCTCCAATCTTGACAGATGATGTTAGTCTCCAGGTATTCATGGACCATCTAAAAAAGCTGGCAGTTTCAAGTGCATCATGACTTTGATAAAACCAAGAAGCCAGAACAGAAGAGTTATATGGATCACGTTGGTGATGGAAGTGGAGCAATTACTTATTCCTTCTCTCTCTTTTAGACTAAGATTTTAAGTATGTCATGAAATAAATATTCAGGAAGAGTTTTTACTTGGCCCTTCTAGATATTAATTTATTTGTATTCCTCTGTCTATATTCTGTTTACTTTACGTTTTTCATATATTGTAATTAGAGCTAAAGGATGTTTTAACTAATATAGATTTTAACAGTCTTTAGCTTAATTTTAGTGTTGTGTGTTCTCAAATGGTGTCTTTTATCAGCCAGGGACTATATTAATGAAAAAATAAAACTGTAAGAGCGTTACTCTTTAATGCTATCCCCAATTCAGCTGTACCTTGGCTGGAGTTGGCCTACCTCCTTTTCCCGTTTGAAAATCTAACACTGGGGTACATACATTGTATTGAAAATAACGTGGAGGAGCTCCTAAAGGTAAGAGTGCAGAAAAAGTATTAGAGGGCAGAGAATGCTTTGACAGACCTAGGGAGGGGGCGAGATGGCGGCCTCTGGGTCACCGGGATGCGGGGGCCTGCACGTCCGCCTCTCGCTTCTCTCACTTTAGCGCCTCATTATCGGGCTTGAAAGGGGCCAGGAGAGCCGGCGCTGCTGCTGTTGCTAACTCGGGCTCTGCACCCGAGCAAGACGCTGCCCGGGGGGGGCTCCCAGGGCCGGGCTGAATCCCCTCACACCCCCTCCGCCGCGTCAGGCGCCGCCCTCCCGCCCACCCTCCGCTCCGC